AGGAGCATGCATAAACTGGCTAACCACACTGACAGCAACAGCAATATCAAGATGAGAGTGATATAGGTAAATGAGCTTAGCCACTAATCGTTGATAACTCCCCCTACCAACAGCTGCTCTTCTTTCATCATCCCCCAATTTTTTATTGGGTTCTAGTGGAGTGTCACAGGCCTTGCAACCAAGCATCCCAGTTTCCTTCAACAGGTCAAACACATACTTCCTCTGTGAGATAAATATCTCATCCTTGGAGCGAGCAACTTCACTTCCCATAAAATACTTCAAGCTCCCCAAGTCTTTGATTTCAAACTCACTAGCTAAATATTTCTTCAATAGAGGTATTTCCTCACTATCATCGCTCGTAAGAACTATGTCATCTACATAAACAATGAGTGTTGTAGTCTTACCACGTGAGAAATGTTTCACAAACAATATGTTATTTGCCTGACTCTGTTTGAAGCCATATTTAAGCCTAGACTGAGTGAATCTCTCAAACCAAGTCCTTGGAGACTGTTTGAGACCATATAATGACTTCCAAAACCTGCATACTTTGCTTTCTGTCTGATGATCCTCAAAATTAGGAGGAATGTCCATATATATCTCTTCTTCGAGGTCACCATGGAGAAAGACATTATTTACATCAAACTGATAAAGTGGCCAATCTAGATTAGCTGCTAGAGAGAGAAGTACTCTGACTGAATTCATCATAGCCACGGGTGCAATGGTCTCCTGATAGTCAACGTCATATGTCTGAGTGAACCCTTCTGCCACAAGACTAGCCTTGTAATGCTCAATAGAACCATCCTCTTTGTGTTTCACAGTATACACCCATTTGCATTCCACAGGTCGTTTGTCCTTAGATAACTCAGTCAATTCCCAAGTGTCATTCTTCCTAAGCGCTTTCATTTCCTCAATCATGGCAAGTTTCCACTCAGAGGTAGCAAGAGCATCCTGAAAATGATTAGGAACGCTAGCAGAAAAAATATTTGATACAAACGCTCTATATGAGGACGACAAATGAGAGTAGAACACAATTTAAGATAGGATGTTGAGTACAAGATCTCACACCCTTTCTCTTGGCAATAGGAACATCAAGATTAATGGACTCAAGAGATTCAAAGTTACCTAAACTCTCATCAAAAGCAGGAGATGGCAGTGGAGGAGCAAAAGTGGTCTCTTGTATCTAGTTAACCTTCTGCCTGTCTTTGTCCCTAATATAAATTTGCCCTTCCCTATCCTTGGTGACATTGGGTTCTGTAGTCCCAGTAGGACGTGGTGGTGCAAGAATAACTGGTTCCACCATAGGAATCACAGGAATCACTTCACACCAGGACTCCCCCTAAAGGGAGGACTGTAACACCAGAGAGGACAAGAAATAGGACTGTGACTCAAAAAATGTGACATCCATGGACACAAACCACTTACGAGAAATAGGGTGGTAACACTTATACCCTTTTTGAGTAGGAGAGTACCCAAGAAAAACACATTTGAGGGAGTGAGGGTCCAACTTACCACGCGTAGGAGAGTGATTATGGACAAAACAGGCACAACCAAATATTTTGGGAGGCATAGAAAACAAGGACTGGGAACCTAGGAGGACTTGAAGAGGTGCTTGTTTTTGCAAAACCTGGGTAGGAAAATGATTAATAAGATGGGCACAAATGAGAACATGGTCGCCCCAGTATGACCGAGCCACACTCATAGAAAAACACATGCACCAAGCCATGTCAAGAAGATAGCGATTCTTGCGTTCCGCCACCCCATTTTGTTGAGGGGTATTGGTGCAAGAGGTCCGATGGATAAAGCCATGAGTAGAAAAATATTGCCCTAACCCAAAATCTATGTATTCACCTCCATTATCAGAACGGAATATTTTGATTGTGGCCCCAAACTAAGTACAAATCATCTTATAAATATTACGAAACATAGAGAAAACCTCACTCCTGTCTTTCATGAGATAAACCCAAGTAGAACGAGAAAAATCATCAATAAAATTAACAACCAACGATGACCTTTCACAAACACAATACGAGATGGACCCCAGACATCAAAATGTATTAATGAGAAATGAACTAAACTTTTATTAAAACTGGGAGCAAAAGAAACTCTGTGTTGTTTTACAAGTTGACAAGACTCACAAAGAAATTCAAACATAATTTGTTAGAAAAAAATAGATGGAAATAAATGCTTAGGAAAATAAAAAAGAAGGATGCCCAAGACGTCGATGCCAAAGACACCGATGCCACAGCCATATATCATCGGTGGTAGTAGGACTCGTAGTGGAAGAATGAGCAAGCTTATTCAGTTGATCCAAGAAGTAGAGATCATTTTCTGCACTACCACTGCCAATTGTTCTCATGACAAGGTCCTGAAAAAGACAATGATCAAGAAAAAAAAGTCGCTACAATTCAAATTCTTTGTAATACGACTCAAGGATAAGAGGTTAACAGAAAAATTGGGAACATAGAGAACAGAAGATAGAGGTATAGTAGGAGTGACATGGACCAAACATTTCCCAAAAATAGAAGAAACAGTACCATCTGTAATCCTAACTTTATCCTGACCTGAAGAAGGCTTATAGGCAAAGAAAAGATCAGAGGATCCAGCCATATGATCGGAGGCACCAGAATCAATAATTCAGAGCAAAGACTTATGAGACAGGAAAACACGAGGAGAAGAGGCTAAGTTACCTGAGCAAGCAAATGATGAGGAAGATGTACTGAGGGCAGTAGAAGACCAGCGGTCCAACAAGTGACGCAGAACATCCCCAAGCTCATGAGCAGTCATGCCAGAGAGACCATCAGAAGCCTGGCCGACAAAAGCGAAAGTAGAATCAAGTGTATCAACGGCACTAGATTGATGAGCCCGTGGGTGAGAGCCACGTCCTCTAGAATGGCCTAACCAACTTTCTCTAGAACCAGACCGATCACCTCTACCCCCCGATGGAGTCCCATGAAGCTTCCAACATGTCTAACGAGTATGCCAGGGCTTGAGACAGTAATCACAGAAGACAGACTCCTTAGCAGCAGACGGTGGGATGGGAGTCAGACTGAGGCCATCTCTAGGGGTAGACAGTAACGCCGAGCGGTCAATAGAGACAGGTGACATCATAGTAGACCAGCGACTCCTCATTCTGCACATAGGCGAATGCCTCCGGAAATGAAGGAAGAGTGTCCATACCCAAAACTCGACTCCGAATCGAATCATACTCCACATTGAGACTGGCCAGAAATTTGAAAACCCTTTCCTGTGCAATGAACTTCCTGTACCCGACTGAATCAACAATGCAAACAAGTTTATAATCCTACAGGTGATCAAGACGTTACTAGCCATTGGTGAGGAAGGTAAAGTACTGAAGAATAGTCTACTCCCCCTGAACAGAGTCCTCAATAGAACGGCGCAACTCAAATGCCTGTGAGAAATTACCTTTGCGAGAATAAGTAGTAGCCACTGCCTCCCAAATATCCTGTGCAGTATCCATAGATAGATAGCCCTCCCCAATCTCTGGGGCCATAGAATGTATCAACCAACCCATAATCAGGGAGTTGGTGATCTCCCACTGATCATAACCCTGGTCCGTGGTGCTGGGTGCCTGTATCCTGCCATCAACATACCCCATCTTTTCTATGCTCGCCAAAAAAAATAATCAAACTTTGACCATGCTAGATAATTCTGACCATTGTATAGAGAGGCGGTGATTTTAGGTTGGGATTATCAGTCATAGTAGTAAGTATAATGGGACTCTCACTCTTAGGTGTCTGAGAAGTAATGGACCCACTGGTAGAATCTACCATGGATACTATACTACCTAACCCTCAACAAAAACTAGTGCCAATCACAAACCCGAAAGATGATGGAGGAATAGTAAGCACTAAGACCACTAAGAATATTAAAGAATAAACACTCATAATTTTTTTTTTTTCCTTTTATTTTTTTTTTAGAGAAGAAAATAAGAAAACACAAACAAAAAACCGAGGTCAATACCTCATCAAAGTGCCGTAGTAGAAGGTCAAACAAGAGAGAGACAACACCGAGAGTCAAACAAGAGAAAGACGACACACATAGCAGAAGGTCAAACAAGAGGGAGACAACACCGGGAGTCAAACAAGAGGGAGACGACACAGAGGGAGACGAAGGAAGCCAGAGAGAGCCTCGGGGCTGTCGGCTAGGGCTGAGAGACTGCCAGTGGAAGTCGGCAAGGCAGGCGACAGAGCCACAGAAGTCGACTTAGTCCAGAAGAGTTGTCGGCAGGGACCTGCGACAGTGAACAAGGGGTTCGACTAGGCAAGATGGCCTATCGGCCGAAACCACCGATGTCGACTTACGCCAGAAGGCCTATCAACAGTGACCAATCAGTGACTGGGCACCTGCAACTTAGGGCTAACTCCAGCAGGTTTGTGGTGGTTGTGTGGTGTATGGTTTAAGGTTTAGGGTTGTGGCTCTGATACCATGTTTATTTTAGAGAATACAAAGATTAGGAAATGATTAGGATATCATCTCCTATTTATATTAATGAAGCTTAATAATTACAAGGAAGCCCAAGGCATAAAATAATTACAAAATAATAACCCAAATAATACTATATTATTCTAACACAAGCTTTCCATTACCTTTACCCACCATAAATGTAGTTGTAGGTATACCCAAATTAAATAAATGAGGAAACACAAGAACCACTACATTATCTAGAACACCCAAGGAACTTACATTAATCCCTCGAAAAAGAAATAACTAACCCATCTCCCAGTTGATAGTTCTAAAGGAATTTAACAAAGGATCAACACAAAAATACAATGTTTACGACCCCAAAAATAGTCATGTCTTAATTTCCAACTTTGAGCTTAGGGAACTAAAATCTAATATATCTTGTATACATAAAAATAGCATACAAATGTTACAAATGCATTAATTCACACTAGAACAGAACTCAGATGTAAAATATTAAAAGAGAGCTCAAGGAGAAAAGGAAGAATAAATGAAAAAAACAAAAAATAATAACAAACCTTGCTGTCCATATGCTGCTCCAGTGCCAAAAGAACATATCCAGAAAACAAGAAAACACCACATCAGATGCAGTGAACAAATAAGTAATAAGACAAGATTTAAAGTTTTAAAAACAAATAAGTATTACAGAAAAACTTACCTTGGAGACTAAAATCTTTCAAGTCAACATCACAAAGCTCATAAACATCAGTCATGACTCCACCCTTTTGGAGCATAGACCCAAACACGGTCGCACATATTATGGCTTGCCTATTCGTAATTAACATTTGCTTTTGTATCCCCGCAATGTAAGTATTTAATGAGCTACAACATGAAGGACTCGGAGCAGCTACATTACGGCATGCTTTAATTACTTCTGATGGCTGCTTAAAATCCAAAGGACAAACTGCACAACCAAACGTCACCACTCGTAAGACACCATCTCCAATTAAAACCATCATGAGTACAATAGAGCATGCAAAGTATATCTATATGACTATGTACCACATTCCTCTCAATAAGCATATCCCCAAGTTACATAATTCACTGAGGTGGGGCCCATACTTCCTATCCAGTTCACCGATCAGCAGATGCAACGCAGAATTGGGATAAATCTGAATTTCAAAATACTATGTGCACTTGGAGTCATATGCTTACTTGAGTGAGTGAAACAAGTCAAATAAACAACTCTCTAAGCCAACTTCTATATTTTTCTTGGCCAAAAATGCAGGGTTCCTATACAGCCCCACTCTATATTATTCAATGATAGCTTTTGTATATGCATGGGAGACATTTTTGCCTTACAACTGTGGTATTTAGCATAAAATCTAATGTTAACCAGTAATTTTTTTTTTTTTTTTTTCTGCTCATTTCCAAATCTTATTTCATAATGATCATTACTACAATGAGATGACTATGATGCCTAGGATCACATAGAACCTCAATATTCAATTCACAATGTCGCCTCGAACTTTTAACTTTAATAGAGACATTACCATAATTGCCAAATCGAGATTCGAATCGTGAATCGAAATGGTCTCGTACTAAATCGCGAATCGAATTGAATCGTAAATCGTAAAGATTTGGTCACTTTTTCTAAATTACTAAGAAAAATAAATCTGTACTTCGATATTAAATATATCTTCTGAATATGAAATATTTAGACTTAACTCAATGAAAATGTTGTTTTGAATGATGATCACATAATTTAATAAGTAAGAAGTTAACAAAGGTTCCTATGCAAGATTGCCATCTTATCTTTTTCGTTTTTTAGATATTTCTTATCAACTATTCTTAATAAAGACAGTAAATAAAGAAAAACTCTCAATTTTCAAAGTAACAATAATTTGACAATTATATTGAAATTTAGACAATAAGCATTCCAAGTAATAATGACCAAATAATAAGAAAAAATTATTTAGGATCTTTTATTTTAAATCCTAAAACATTTTAAAAGGTATAACTAACCTAACCCATGAAATATTGAACTATATTTAATTTAATAAAATAACAATAGATAATTCATGGTGTAAGTTACTTTAATTTTAAATATTTTTAAAAGATATATTATGATTTTTTAAAGAAAAAAAATGATAAATGGTTCAAAACATGCTGGGATTGATTGAATTTGATTGGATCCTATTAAAAACTCCATGATCATTAAAATAACAACAAATCATGTATATATATTGGTTATTTTGGTACTAAATGCTATTAGAAGTTATATTATGTCATTTTCACTGAAAAGATGGAGAAAAAAAGTGTTGAAAATATGTCAGACACGAGAATTTCAAAAATTGCATGAATCGTAAATAGTGAATCAAATCGTGAATCGATTGTGAATCGTATGATTCACTAGAGATTCACTCCCAAAATAGATTCACTCATAGATTCGTATCAATTTTCAAAAATTGCGAATCAAATCGTGAATTGAATTGCAAATCGTAAGATTCTGATAACAAAGAACATTACCCAACTAAGAAGCATGAACACTCCAAAATGGGTAATGTGTCTGTGTCCCAATAGGGTATCGAACATCAACATAGTACCATTGTTGTCAAATCGTGAATCATTTTGCTAAAATAGTGAATCGTGAATCTTATCGAGTCGTGAATTGTAAGATTCATTTTATTTAATATGATATATAAATCTATATATTTATACACGTATATAAAAATACATATAATGTTTAAAATAAAATAAATTATTAGTATGATTAAATTGTATATATGTTTCTATATAAAATCACGTACATCAATATAACTAATTAATCTCTTCTATATATCTTCATAGTTTGGTGAAAACGACTTTGTTTCATGCATTATGTAAACAAAAATAGAAATAGGATTGAATCGTAGTGAATTGCAATGAATCGTAGCTAATCGTAAATTGAATCATATGATTCACTCAAGTTCCGATTCAACAGCACAATTTGAATCATTTATGTTGAAAACTTGTATCGAATCGCACGAATCGAATCATGATTCGTACAATTCTAACAACCATGCATGGTATACACACGCATGTCCAACTGTCAAACATGCCACATGGCATGCCTAAGCTTCTTATTTTTATTTTTTTTGCAAGACACGTTGTAAACACTTCACAAACATTTGTGTCATGTGTTTGGACATAGCTTTAGGACACCTTTGTGAGATTTTCTTTTTCCATTATTTTTTAATTTTAGCAAATTGATTTGTGGTCAAAAGTAAAATATATGAAAACAAAGCGAGGAAAAAGTGGAAAACAAAAACAAATATACACCCAAATATACATCAATGTCTCTCCTATCTCTATACCCTAAATTCATATTCACAAACATACCAAATAATTTTCTCTGTCATATCACCATCTATGAAGCATGGGTATGGGGCGGAGTATGAGTATTGGTACGATACGGGTACGTCGATACAATAAAATTCAAAAAAAGTAAGGTCCGGATACAGCTTGGGCTTGGTACGCTTATAAAAAAAATATTTATTTTTAATTTAGAGTAATGTAAAAATTAATTAAATGGTTTAATTTGTCAAGATTCAACCTACAATTAATATTTAGTGGGTGTTTGGGAATTTGCTATTTTAGTTTTTGGCTATTTTAGTAGGCTAAAATTTTTTGTGTTTAGGAAGATGGTTGGATTTTTTTGTAGTTAGATGTGATATTTGTGAGAAAAAAAAGTGAAATGATTATAAGTTTGATGTGCATTGTCTTATTGGCTATTTTAGCCTATTTTGTCATTTTGTAGATTTTAGCCCAAAAAGCCAAAAAAAGCCTTTGCTAAACACCCCCTTAATGCCAAAAGTAAAGGTATAAATCAAAATTAAATGTCAATATATTAAATAACTTACAAACCATAGTTTAATTTTAAAAACATGCTAAGTATAAAACTAAAAATAAAAAGTAAGTCTAGTAAAAGGAGTTTTTATTTCTATAGTAAAAGAAAATATTGTTTCAACTGAGGTACGATACAACTTAGGTATATAGTAGGTACGTCTGGGTACGGCAAAAATTAAGAAAAAATTTGGATACGTGTTTCGTATACCCAGTATATATGCAGAAGTACCATACAAGATATCATATACCGATAAGTACGCAGTACGAGTACGGCATGTTTTTTGAAGTACCCAGGCTCACCATCATGTTTGCTTTCTAATTTTTTTTAAATCGCCATATCCCATCTCTATTTCCATGCCAATGCTTCTTAGTTTACCCAACATTGGTCCACATCAATCTAGAGTGTTAGGAGTGGTAGGACCAAAGTCAAATCAAACTTTTAGCACAAGAAAATTAATAATTGGGCATGAAAGGGTTAAGATATTAATAAAGGACATATTATTGCTTTCTTTATGTTAATCGTTGACTAAGAAGTACAGACACATGACATAACATGGATATGCCAACATAAAAATTTATAAAGATGTAAGACACAAGTTGAGGGCACGTGCAAAATTTATAATTTTATATATTTGTTATATGTCATACATAATATGTAGGGGATATTGCAAATACATGGAGTAGTGGGAAAAAAATTGCACTACAAATGAAATTTTTTTTTGGTGCAACTGACACACACGAAGAGTTGCACCAAGCACATGAATGAATTTGCACCATGCACACAGTAGAGTTGCATCATCATGAAAATGCAATTTTTTCCCCACTGCTCCACTGAAATGCAATTTTTCCTAATCTATATATATGATATTCAAGTCAAAGATAATATTTTTTTGAAGTCTAAAGAAGAATAAGTATAAATTTACATTGTTTTTATTTCATTATTGAGTTCCATGTTATTTTATCCAAACTCCTAGTGCGTTTAATGTGTGTCTAAGTGTTGAGAAGTGTTCGATAAGTGTCATGTTATGTCAGTGTCGGACACGACTCGTTAACTTCCTAAAGTGTCCGTGCTTCTTAGATCATAGACATGCCCCTGCCCCTCCAAATCCACCCCATACACCATACCATATTTCCTACATTTTATGTATTTTCTGAATTTAACATTACAACCCAGTAGATACTCTGCAGATTGGGTCACTTTACTAGGAAGGCAGAGTTCATGCAAATGCAATCGTAAAGATTTCAAACTACGATGGAAATGCGATACTAATAACAAGTCCACTAACAAGCATATAAATATTAAAGGGAAAATTGCCAATATGTCCTACTTTTCCCATGAAATTTCCATCGAGTCCTATTAACACATGAATCAGCCCTCTTGAATAGGGCTCAATGGAAATTTTATGATGAAAATAAGACTTACTGGATATTTTCCCAATATTAAACTCAATGAAAATTTTACAGGAAAAATAGGACTTATTGGATATTTTCCCAATATTAAAACCTTGTACCTTTGTTGACTTTACAGGCAGATAATATTCGAAATGCAGTATTGGCAGCATCTAGAGGGAGTTTGCTAGAAAGCCATGAATACACCACCTCTTTACAATCATTAAGAGCATCCACATGATTAGGCCCTCCAACTATGTTTTTATTATCACTGATAAGCGCTTGCCCTGCTGAAATCTGAAGTGCAGCCTCCATAATTGCAGGCTTGCAAATTGGTCTACAGCACTCTTTAAGAGGATCAACAGTGCTGCAAGCCTCCAATAACCTGCTCATATTAACAGTCTTCTCAAAGGTGGTTACATCCCTCACAGGACAAAAGCCACCAGTCAGATTTGATGGATTTGCAGAGCAGATAGTAGGTATCGAACTGTTTGCCCTTCTGCTTGCTAGTATAGTAACGATATCTGAAAAACAATCATTAGCAGTCGCATTTAGTAAAACTAATTTATCAGAAGTGGTGCTGTAGTATCCCTGGAATATGCGGAGTAAACTACTGAACTGAGGGCAACATATAACATTTCCTACAAAAGCCGCCAAAGGTTGAGAGCAATCAGATGCTGTTTTGTCCATGATATCTGAAAGAGCAGATAAATTTACTGGACATTTTCCAGTCAAGACTGGATCATACGTAGTTGGGAAGGTTGGGTACATAGGTGGCAAAGATTCCCCAGGGAAAGGATAATGTGGAATAACAGCAGGTGATATTTCAATTGGTTGAAAGAGTTCGCTACGAGGTGGGCTAGCTAGCTCAGATGCGAAAGAAATGCGATTCAAATCAGGTTTCATTTCTAGTGGCACTACATCTTGAAAACTGGATAACCAAATGGTAAAAAATAGGAACCAATGGCAAAGAGAACCTGCAATCAGATATAAACTGTTCTTTAGAATCCATAGTAATTCATTATATGAAAATAAAATAATGCAAGACTGTAATTCCTAGATAATATGCATGGATACATTTTTGTGTGTTTGACAGAGTTGTAGAGAGAGAGAGAGAGGGGGGGGGGATGTTGGGGGCGCAACCTTATTAAACTCAAAAATAAAATAAAAAAAATAACTGAGCACACAACTGGACAGCCCAACAATGGTCCTAACAAAGAGCAATTCAAAATTCACTAAAATTTCTTGATCCAAAGAGTTGTTCTCTGATGAACTGAAACAGCAGAGAAAATCATATAATTTGCAATCTTTTGTAAGAAGAGATAAGGAGGGAATCCCACTCTAAAATTAATATTTAGTGGTCCAAAATATGACTGGGTAGAAGGCTCCTAATGATGAATTTCATTATTAATAACATACCCTTAAGACGACTAACAGTCTTTACACAATCCATAGCTCCACTAACCCTCTGGCAACATGGAGATTCACAAAATGCAACCTCTATGGTAGTTGATAAACCCAAAAAGAGGTCACTGCAACATACCAACACCTGTAACAACTTCAACAAAAAGGGTGAAACTCAAAATTTATAAATAAAAAATTAAATTAAATTAAAAATAATAATAATAAAATAAAAATAAAAGTCCACAAAAAAGCAATAAATATGGCAAAAATAAAACAAAATGAGTATCATGTGCTTCAGTCTGTTCAGACTCTAAAATAACTTGCTTTCAAATGTTCGGAGTCCAATAGATGAAGCAACAGAGGCAAGATATATAACAAAAAAATATTGAAATCATATTCATCACACAAAACAATCATTCTTGAAATAAGCTTTATGTATTGACGTAACCCATTTTTGTAAAAACATTAATTCACTTAGCCATGACAAAAAAAACTTCCAAGTGTGCACATAAATGGTCTTCCCACTATTCATCAATTGGACTACAAAGAGAGAGAAACACCACAAGAATGCAAGTGACAACCCAAATACCCGATTATGTGTTTAACAATGTTACATCAACCCCCACCAAAATCTGTACATCTTCTCATGTTTCAATTAAGAGAGTTGATAATAGCCCCCACCTTTCTTCTTTAGTTCCCCACCCTTCATTTTCTTTTCTTTTTTTTCTATTACAATATTACCCTAATACAAAATTTCAATTTTGTCCCCATCCCCAACTTCCAAAACCCTCTCAGCCACCCCCTCCGGTTCCTTCAACCCTTTCCACTACACCCGCAACCCCCTCCCCTCACCGTTGCGATCTCCACCCCCCGCAGCCCCCTCAACCATCACAGCCCCATTCTTCTTATTCTTTGCAATCTCTCTCTCTCTCTCTCTCTCTCTCTCTCTCTAGGGTTTCGAAAGGAATGGCGGGTCTAGGCAAGGATTGTGGCTGTAGGGGGTTACAATCTAGGGGTCGTGCAATGGGGGGAGTTGGGGACAGGGTTGTAGTGGGGCAGTGGCTGCAGTCAGAAGGTTGCCAATGGGGTAGCGGGGTGCCAACGGTGGGGGCATCAACGACCAGAGGTGGAGGTGAGGTCTTGGGTGCTGGTAGGGGTGCAGTCTAAAGAAAGGGATATTTTCTGGATTATGGTAGGGGTTCAAAGAAAAAGACGTGTGGGTAGCCATTTTGGTGAGTGGGAATTCAAAGAAGTGAGCGATCCACAGAAAAAAAGGTGTGGGCAGCAGCACTCTTCGTTTAATCCCTCCCTTGCTCTATAAATTGCATAGCCCTGCTAATTTACCACATGATCTGGTGCTCATCTTACAATTGCATCTTTTGATTGACTCTAGGGGCAATGCTCTTAAAATTGATCTGTTTCGTGTTACAAGCTCCACATCTTTGAAGACGCCACAGCCAGTCAAAGGTTTCTAAGGAATTAAATAATGGCAAAACAGTACATATATCATTGTCAAAATCTACAAATCACTTTTATATCTTCAAAAAATTTGGTAAAGTAACTTAAACTGTGAAGAAGCAAAATTACTTCCACAACTAGTTTACCCAACACAAACAAAGCCCAAATAAGTTCTGCACATTTCCTTTTCTTTTTCTTTTTTCCCCAAAAGAAAAACCACTTCCAAAATGCAATTTATGACCGCAATTTCCTTTCCTGCCAAGTAAATCATAGTCTCATACTTGCTGTATTATTCTTCATAAAAACAAATCCAAAAACAAAAAACAACTCACATCAATATACCACTAAAGATCTTGCACCTAAATATAACCTAGTACAGCAGAGAGATTGAGAGAACCGAAGCTAAACACTATTACAGCAGCCATAGTAAAATATATTTTTAAAAATTAAAAAAAAAAAAAGGAAGCACACACACATAATCTAGAATGTGTTCGATTACATGAAAACCTAAGAAGAATATCCATATAAATTGAGCTCAGGTAAGAAAACCGAATATGTGCTCATGAGAGAGGGAGAGAGAGAGAGAGGCGGTGACATACCTGGAGGTAAGGGAGGTGTTGATTGGGTTACGGTTGATTCGGATAGATTCTATGCAACTTTTCGTGCCGAAAAAGCCCAGTTGGGACCAAACTTTTCTCAGATCATTTGTCATTTATCGATTCCTAGGGTTCGAAATCAGAACCCCGTATCATATTGGGGTCTCGATCGATTCGGAGACATGTACATTGAAGCTATAAAACGTACATGAAATGCGTATTTAAAGTAGCTTCGTAAAGAAACCCTAAAAGCAGCTTCGTAGAAGAGGCTTCATGTGAGACTGTTGAATCAGAGTGAAATGATGGATAGAGTGGAGAGAGAGACCTTTCCCTTTCGCCTTTCGGAATCAGGATCCTCTGCTTGAAGTTCTTCCTTAATTTCCTACTTGCTAAGCCATTGGACCTACTTTTAGACTCAATTTTGATAATTTAAATCGTTCATATTTTAATATTTGTTAAATATATTATACTTGTAAAAAATCAAATTGATCAAATATCAGAAAATATATGTTCGGATCATCGAACTAAAAATTATTTTTTAAAAAAATTTAATAAATAATTTTCCAAACGCATACTTTTTGATACGGCTGTGATTCAGACCCCCAGCTGGGGCACCCCCAGTGACCCCAGCGCCACATGGCACTCTGCCAGTGGCTGAAACCAAAAAAAAAAAAAAAAAAAAAAATAAAAAAAAAACAAACAGTTTTTTTGGCCAATCAGGAGTGACCCCCAGTACCCCCACTGGGGTCTTAAGCTTTATTCCTTTTTGATATTCGATTAACTTAGGCCAAGTTTGGGAACACTCTAAAAAGCTAAAAAGTCAAAAAGTTACTCAAAAAGTTAAAAAGTTATCACTATTCACCAAAAGTCAACAATTACGGCTGCACAACTCCCAATTCTAATTTTCTCCTACAAATCAATTTTTACAATTTTTTATTACACATTTTTCCATAAAAAACCAAAAAGTTAACCCAAACATTCATATTTTCAACCTCAACTTTTTAATCTAAAAAGACAAAAAGTACACTTATTTAGTCTTCCCAAACTTGACCTTAATTTTTTATAAGTATGATATACTCAACAAATAAATATAAACAGTTTAAATTATCAAAATTATACTCAACAAATAAATATAAACAGTTTAAATTATCAAAATTAAACTTAAAAGTAAATCTAATAACATCTTGATTTCGCCTTTCGGGGTGGAGTGGCTTTTTGCAGCAGCTCCCTAGAAAGTTACTGACTGGCAGACGGGTCCACCTAACTCAATTTTGCCACATCAGTATGTATCCTAGGCTATGGTCCGATCAAAATACACTGTTATACACGTTGACTTCTACTTGACAATTTGGGTCCGTGAAGCCATCCAAATTTGGGATATTACATAGCACATTTAAGTCAACAATAACAAAAAAAAAAAAAAAGAAGCACACACACATAATCTAGAATCTGTTCGAATACATGAAAACCTAAGAAGAATATCCATATAAATTGAGCTCAGGTAAGAAAACCGAATATGTGCTCATGAGAGAGAGAGAGAGAGAGGCGGTGACATACCTGGAGTTAAGGGAGGTGTTGATTGGGTTAGGGTTGATTCGGATAGATTCTATGCAACTTTTCGTGACGAAAAAGCCCAGTTGGGACCAAACTTTTCTCAGATCATTTGTCATTTATCGATTCCTAGGGTTCGAAATCAGAACCCCGTATCATATTGGGGTCTCGATCGATTCGGAGACATGTACATTGAAGCTATAAAACGTACATGAAATGCGTATTTAAAGTAGCTTCGTAAAGAAACCCTAAAAGCAGCTTCGTAGAAGAGGCTTCATGTGAGACTGTTGAATCAGAGTGGAATGATGGATAAAGTCGAGAGAGAGAGAGAGAGAGAGGGGGACCCGTTTGGTAGAGTCGTGAGAAAGTGATTATAATTTATAGTCTAACAATTTATAACTTATAATTATGAAGATAATTTATTTTTTACTTATAAATTAAGTTTCTCCTTCCCCACTCAAAGAATAAGTTAATTTTTTACTTACAAAAAGTTATAAATTGTATTATTAAGCTGAACCAAATACATTAAAATAGCTTAAATTAAGCTATAAGCTGGAAATAAGCTCTACCAACCAAACAGGGTCAGAAAGTCTTTTCCCTTTCACCTTTCGGAATCACGATTCTCTGCTTGAAGTTATTCCTTAATTTCCTATTTGCTAAGTCATTTGATCTACTTTTAGATTCAATTTTGATATTTAAAACCGTTCATATTTTAAGATTTGTTGAATATATTATACTTGTAAAAAATTAAATTGATCAAATATCAGAAAGTATGTGTTCGGATCATTAAACTAAAAATTATTTTTTTAAAAAATTTAATAAATAATTTTCTAAACATATGTTTTCTAATATCCGATCAACTTAACATTTTACAAATATAACACACTCAACAAATAAATATAAAGAGTATGAATTATTAAAATTAAACTTAAAAGTAAATCCAACAAATTAAACTTAAAAGTAAATCCAACGACTCAATAAATAAAAAGTCAAATAGAAACCTTAAGGAGAAGATGCTGATTCCGCCTTTCGGGATGGAGTGGCTTTTTGCAGCGGCTCTCTAATAAGTTACTGACTAGTAGACGGGTCCACCTAACCCAATTTTGCCACATCAGTGTATATCCTAGGCTATGGACCGATCAAAATACAATGTTATACACGTTGACTTCGAGTTGACAATTTGGGTCCGTGAATCCATCCAAATTTGGGATCCATCAATTCTATGCCCAAAAAAAAAAAAAAAAAAAAAAAAAAAAAAAAAAAAAAAAAAGAAGAAAAAAAAGGGCAATCTAAATTTGTGTGGTTTAAATAATTTAAATGTATCAAAATAATATTATTTTATATTTAAAATAACATTATTTTAAAATATTAAAATTATTTAAGTTATGAAATTTCGAATCACCTAATATTATTGTTTATGCAAAGTAGGTGCAAGTGAGGTAGAGGAAAAATGTTAGTTTGTTAATGAGTATAAACGGGTTGACCATTAAAACTTGTTTAACACTGTTGGTTTATTTTTTTTCTAAAAAGAAAAATATTATAAATATAAGTGTATTAGAAAAGATTAAAAAAATTATAGATTAAATTTAGCCAATTATTAAGGAATTATGTTGACGGTTCTTTTATCTTAATTAAGAGGATTTTAAAATTATCAAGTGTAGAGAAAAAAAAAATTAAAAAATGAGGGAGACGGAGAAAGATGATTGAGTGAATAATCGGGGTGGTTGAGTGAACAATCAAAGTAATAATTAATTACCTCTACTCATATGCTTTGAAAATGAAATGCATAAAATTACCTCTACTTCTATACTTCGAAAATGAAGTATTGAAAATAAAGTGTAGGAAATATAAATGACAAAAATATATATATATAAATCAATTGTTTTTTATTTAAGTTATGAATCTTTACAATGTAGTCATGAATGACTATTTATAGGCAAACATTTGTAGGAAAAAATTACCTAATAACTACCACATTCTTCCATTTTTCACACTTCATACTCCATGATCTTCCACTTTGTCTTTATGTCTTCATAACTTCCTTTAACCTCCAATTCATGCTTCATGATCCTCCACATTCTCCATCATCTTTTCACATGTCTTTAATGATTTATAACTTCAAATAACCTCCAAATAAGTAAAAGAGTGCCACGTGTCCTGTAATTTATTATTAATAATAATAATAGTAATAATTTATTTATTTATGGTGCCAACATTACCCCCTGCAACTCTTTCGAAATGAGAAACCTCGAATTCATATAGAGTTGTACATCAATTTAGACCATATTTAGCAATTAATTAAGGTATTTGAAGGAAGACACGTATTCAAAGGTTCTTTTATCATATAATATGATTCAATTTTTGTTAAAAAAAAAACCAAAACCTTGTTTCGAATGTGGCCACGGCAGATTTCAGAAGCTTTAAAAGCTTCGAATGCATAATAGCTACTTGCTTGAAGAGTTTATAAAGCTTCAAAACATAATTAAAATAATTTCACATGCTTTGAATTTTAATGCGTGTTTTGAAATTGGATTACTTTGCATGTGTTTGAAATTGTGAATTATTAGCAAAATATCACCAATTTGATTTAGTCACAATGCATGCCAATGTTATTGTCTTTGAGCCATTAATAACAGTTGGCCCTTCTATACTTCACTTCGACACTTTCGATGCATCATGAGACTATGGAAATTTCAAGACCTTCGAAGCATGATTCTTCAGACCTTAACAATATATTTTTGCTTCTGATTGCACTACTTTGAATTGCTTCAAATTGACAAACAACATACACACTCTTCAAATTACACTATTTTAAAGTGTTTTGCTGAGTTTTGAATTACCTTTTAACCAAATATGTACCTTCGAAGTGCTTTTGAAGGAGCTTTGAGCCACCTTTGAACTAAATATATGGAACTTTAAAGTGTTTTCGAATTTTGAAACACCTTCGAACCAAATATATGGACCTTCAAAGCGCTTTTGAGAGAGCTTCAACCCACCTTCGAGCCAAATCTGTGGCCCTTCAAAATGCTTTGACATACCTTCGAAGCGAACATGATAAAATTTTGTCGGTAAGATGATTTTTGATAAAATCATGATATATGGAACAATGTTTAAAGATGATTGTTTTATTAGCCATTTTGTCACGACCCAAACCCGCCCCCGTGGGTTAAGGACATAACCGGCCAATAATCATGAGATTACCTACGGTCTCAGACCGAGCCAAACGTATTTTATCAGAGTTAATGGGGGGCCAAACGGAAGCAATTTAAAACTTTATCCATAGAGCTGTGCTTACATGGCACATCATAACAAACATACATATGCATATTAATTACTCACAACGAAATATGTACAACACACGGTTCTGTACATACAGGATCATATAAGTCTAAGTCAACCCAAGAAAACTATATACAATATACTCAAAGACTTCGCCCACATTACAAATGAAACAGAATGACAAAAAGGCGAAGACGGGTCTCGTGCGTGAGACACAAGGGCTGACTCGTCAAAACCTTTGTTGTTCCTCACAGACTTCACTGGGGCTGGGTTTGGACTTCCCTTGGCTTACCTACAAACACATGAATGAACGTGAGTGAAAGCCCAATAAATAATATCAAATAAAGGAGTTATACAAACAGTATGTAGAACAACATGCTTCAAACGGCCTTGGGCCCAATTCATATTTTTATTTAACATATATACACAATTTAGGTCAAGTGACCGCGGTTCCGAACAAACTGGCCTTTGGCCCATCCAAACTTTCATTTGTGTCGAA